TGTTGCCCCTGTCCCATTTTCTCTCTTTGCTCTATTAAAACTCCAGTTACATGTATATCCAACTGTCCACTGTAATTTCTGTCTTTTCTACTGTTTTTTTCTACTTTCCATCCTTTCTTCTCTCTGTCCTTCAATTTGGATATTTTCTTGGGATCTGTATTCTAGTTTATTACTTCTCTCTTGATCTGTGTCTAGTCTGCCTTTGAAACAATCCATTGAGTTATTAATTTCAAGTATTGAAATTTCTGTTCTGACCTTTCTATTCAGCTCTATTGTATAGTTTTAGTTCTCCACCAAAATTTTAAATCTTGTTTGTATTTCCTTGAAAATATGAAGTGTTATTTTAAGTATCCAAATGTAATAATATCTGTATCCTTGTGTGTCTCTTTAGTTATCTATTGCTTGCTTCTCATTTTTTTAGCATGTTTCCTAGTATGCCTGATGTTTTTAGACTGAGTGCTGGAACTAAATATGAAAAATTGTAGAAATATTTTGAGGACTGGGATAATGCTGTATTTCCTGCTGAGAGGATTTACTCTTGTCAGTAGGTGTCTCGAGACACTAGCAATCTAGATTATTTTAACTCAATCCAGTTAATGAGGTGATTTGAAGCTTGGTGTTCTATTTTAGTTCACCCTTATTCTTAGACTGTAGCATTTTTAAATTACCAGTCCCACATTACCATCTAATTGGTTGTGAACTTCAGTTTTTGTCCTGCTAACCCTTTTGAGCCTGAAAAGCTCAGTTCAGCTTTTAGCCTACCAGCTGATTCTTCAGGAATCAATAGGTGTCCCAAATATCAGGCTCCCTACCTGTGTTCCTTTCTGCTCCTGGATATTGGCCCTGTCATTATTCATATGCTCTCTGGTACCAGGTTTTCTAGTTGTGCTCAGCAGGCACATTGATTGGAATTACCAGGTTCACCGTTACAGGAAGTATATATAATTTTGTAACCTTGAAAGACATTATTATTATTGTTTTATATAACCCATTATTTATATAAGTTTATCTCTATATTTATCACTTTATTTGTTTTTAATTTCTTCTATAAATCCTTTAGAATTTTTTTTACTGTGGTGAATGCTTTCATTTTTGTAACAAACTATATTTTGCCTTTATTCTTGAAAAATACTGTTGCTGAATCTATTGTAATTTGACTTTTTTTTTTTTTAGGACAATGACACCATTCTACTTTTTTTTTTTAGCTTTTATTGTTATTGTTCAAAAATTGGCTATAAGTTTGCCTATTGGTTATTTGGGTTTCTTGAATTAGAGAATGGTATCTTTCATAAATTCTATAAAATTCTCAGCCATTATCTTTTAAGTATTGGTCTTCTTTCCTTCTGAGACTCCAATTAATTATGTTAGCACTTCTTTTCTCTATGTTATACATATCATCCTTTCTTCTATATATTCTATTTTTTTTATCTCCCAGTGCTACATTCTGAATATTTTCTTCATACTTACCAATTCTCTCTTAAGCTATATGAAATCTACTGTTTAACCTATCCACTGAGTTCTTAATTTGAGACATTGTGTTTTTCCATCCTAGAGACTTTATTTGCTTTTTAAAAATTTATCAGATTTTATAGGTTCTCTTTCCATGCAGACAAAAATTTGTCTTTTATTTCTTTTTAGCATATATATTTTTTATAGTCTATGGCTGAAGCTTTGCAGATTGTTTTTCTTTTGTCTGTTGTTTCTCCCAGTTCTTCCTTGTAGTGTTTTGTTTATTAACTTGGTTATCTATGGCTTCCTTATAGCCATTGTACCTAAAAAAATATTACAGGAATATTCTAAGATCTAGGATAAAGTTACCTTTTTCCAGAGAGGTTTTGAATTGGCTTCTGCCAGATATCTAGGTACATTACTTTAATTATATTTCCATAACTGAGCCACCTTAATCCAAATTCAAGACTTAAGGCCCTACCTTAATGATGGAAATGTATATTTTAATACCATATGAGTGTTGGTTTATTTCTATTAACCCTTAGTCTCAGAGTGTAAATCTTTGAGCTCTCAGCATATTGTGCAAAGTATCTAGTATTAGATTCCTCACCTTATGTGACCCTGGGCGCCTTTTTTTTTTTTTAATCTCCTCATTCAAATCAATTTACCAAAATGGGAGCTCAAAATTTTCTGGGATTGGCAAACAATTTCAGGCCAAAAGAGGACTCTGTGTTGGCTAACCTCTCTAGGTTCCCCTGTCCCCTACAGGCTTCACCTGGTAATTCCTTATAATCTTAGCGCTTCATTAATTTTAAGAAGATTTTTAAATAATTATTTACCCATTATATTTAGTTGTTTTCAATAGAAGGGCTCATTCAGATAACATAGTTTGCTATAACAAAAAAGAAAGAAAGAAAGAAAGAAAGGAAGGAAGGAAGGGAGGGAGGGAGGAAGGAAGAAAGAAAGAAAGAAAGGAGAAAAAGAAAGTTCCCCCAAGAACATTGTTTTTGGTTCTAATTTTATTGCAGTAGTGTCAAAGAATATAGATTGTGTTTCAAATCTTGGGAGGTAAAGTATATTAATATTTTAATGTACATCCTTTAAAGCTTAAATAACATAGTGCTGCATTTCTTAAACCTAATAAGTTGAACCTATTTACAGTGATTGTTACTACGATTACTGCTGCCATCTTTTGGCTCATCTTTTTACTCCAGCCATTGTTGAAGCCACCACGTGCATACGGGGATAACTGGACAGCACATCGTCTCTGCTGTCCTATGGATCTCTTGCTTTCTACTCCAGGGCTTCCCTACCACCAATGCCTGGGATACCTGCAAGAGCCTCTCACCATTGTGACATATGGGCAAACCAAAAAGTGCAGACAAATCGACAACCAGGGGTGACTCTTGATCAGTGAAGCGTGGGAGCTGGATGATTAATATTCCTCTCGTCTATCCATTGGGCACGTAATTCTGAAGTGCATTCTACATGGCTCCCTAAAAGACTGTAGTGGAGTCAGCCCCAACTGCCTGCCATGTTGATCTATTTAATAATGCACTCTTAGGTTGGCTTTTCCTCCTTCTCAGCTTCACTCTTGCCAGCCCCCTTCACCTGTTCTTGGGATTGTTTTCTAAAGTAAATTGCCTGCATGCAAGACCTTGATACAGGTTCTCTTCTTTGAAAAGGCCAGGAAAAGACACGATGCTTTTTTCCTACCATCAAATTTGCTTCTGTTGTTTTGAAATTTTCTCATTCTACTTTTATTCTTCTGCAGGCTACCCCTAAATTACTGAACCAGGGCACTATCTAAAGCTTATCAGTATCTCATTCATTCTTTTCCCCCAAACAAACCAATAATCTTAACTGGTTCTTAACACCCTTTGATGTACATCTATATACCCCAAGCTCCAATTTGTATAATTTAGCATTTTAGTTCCAGATTCATATTGATCGAGTGTGTGTATTTGTAGTAATTACTCATTTAATCAATAACAAAGTACACAATTCTTTACTTACACATATTTCACTGCACATTCCTGGATTAGCTCTCTTTTTCCCGGAATATGGCCTATAATAGTTATTCAAAGAGGATGTATGATATACTTTCTGTAATATTTATTTCTTCTAACATTTAAATTATAGTTAAGCTGAAATAAAATTCTAGGTTTAAATGCATTTTTCTTCCAAACTTTGAAAATGTAACTCCAATATCTTCTTCTAACCAGTATTGCTGTTGAAAGGTCTAATGCCTATCTGATTCTAATTTTTTAAAGGTGATTTTGTTTTTTTCCCTTTTTTTATTATTTTTACTTACTTTTACCTCTGGAAGACTTTAGAATTTTCTCTGTCTTTGATATTTTTATATTCTGTTGTCATCTGTTGAATTTGTTATCTTTATTTCAAAATGCTCATGTTCTTTAGCAATCTAATTATTTTTCCTTTTAAGCTCATCTTTTTTTTTTTTCTTTGCACAATGGATTGGCTTGGTTAGTGACATTTGCCTTGAACAAAAGTCTACCCTTTGGCTTATGTTTCTCATAGGGAGAGGGCGGAAGGGAGGGAGGAAGGGAGGGAGAAAAGGAGGGAGTATACATGTGCACACGTGCATATGTATGAGGGTAGGGAGAGAGAAGAGAAGGGAAAAGACAGGAAGGGAAGAAGAATGGAGAGGGAAGGGAAAGGGAGGGCTGTGCTCTATCTTAGCTGCGTCTTTACATGCTGAGCAACATCCTCTGTCTGCCTGGTGGCCAAAGGAAGTTGCTGGTCCTTTTTGGCCTGGGAAAAGCCTCTGAGCTTAGTGACAGCTCCCTTATCAACGCAAATGAGGAAAATAGTTATGATGAAAAAAAGGAAGATGTCCCAGAGGAATTTTTTAAGTTTTGGTAAAACTTTTTTTTAAGTCATGGAACAACTGTGGTTTGTCCCATTGATTAGTAAGATCTCTCTGCACAGTTCCAGCTTGCATAGTCATTTTGACAGTCTGGCACTGCCATGCAAAGGGAAGGCTGCCTGTATAATAAAAGAATTTGCCTTGGGTTTTGGCAGATTAAATGAAACTGCATCATGAGTACTGACCAAGAGGTCTAACATGTATTAGGCTATAAACGAATGTTGTTTATTTTCTGTGATTATTATCAGTTGCTTTATCTTTTATGAATTTAAGGGAGTTGATATGGGTATGTATGAATTATTTTAAAATTATAATTGGTTGCTTTGTTGTTGAAAATTATTATTTTAAATATATTCCAAACTAAATATCTAGGCATTTCCTCTAGAAAAACTTGTGATAGCTATCTCTCCCTGCCCCACCCCCACCCTCCAAAACATCCACAAAACTTGACTTATTCATAGAAGGGAAACACATTTACGGCCCTTCAATTAGAAAAGGATTCAAAAGGATTCAAATGCATTACAAATAAGACCCTGTAGTTTTGTTTCCTTATTTTATTTTTTTATCTCTGGGTTTCCCCTTTAAAAATAAAAGGCGTTATGTTCCTTTAAAAATATGCCTTTAGGGATTAAAGAGTAAATATGAATTGCACGAAGCTCATTTGGAGAACTACTGATGGAAATGCCTATAATGACTACAGAAAGATGGGCTTTTAAGGGAATCAGCATAGCAAAACTGCTTCCTGTATGGGGGTCTTAGGACCCAAGAAAGGTAATGAAAAAAAAAAGAGAAAGGATTCTGTCCTTGTTATTTAACCATTGGTCCTATATTAAAACTAGAGGCTTAAAATACTCAAGGAATGATTTATTTTATTCATTTTATTTCCTTTCAGTTTTTGGCTACAGGATCACGTGCTTTGTAATGGAAGCTTTTAAAGGCTGCCTGCTGATGAGTGAGAACTTTTTGACAGACAATTTGTGGGTTTATTGCTCTTGAAAAACAATGTATCTGCTGCAGAATCCAGGTAGGCTGCTGAACTGATTAATATACCACGTATGGCCTGTATCGACTGACTGGTTGTCAGCAGGGAGAAGTAATATGTGTTTAACCATTAAAACAGTTAACTGCTTGTGAACAGATGTCCTTATAGAAGTAATTGAGCTAAGACTGCAACCTAGTGGTGAGTTTGTTATTGAAGAAAAGTGGCTGCATTTATTCGAGGCTCTTGATAAGGCTGCATTTGAATCAAAGAGAGAATGAATCCAGGAGAGCAGCGTGCTTGTGCCCTTCTTGTGAAGACTGATCTTCGAGTCATGTTGTAGGTGGACTAAAGGTGGAGATAGGATGGCTGTAGTTGGATCCCATGAAGCTGTTCATTTTATGAAGCTCTTTTAACGGTGTTGGAAGCTTCTGCTCACACTTCGTTTCTTTGTCTCTTTAAAGATGAAGAAAGACCTTGACAAGACCACTGTGGTTTATCTTTTCACACTAGTTGGACTAATTTCTTTCTTTACTTATTTATCAGTTGCACTTTAGGGTACACTTTACTTGCGTTTATTTTTGTGATTGAAGTGCTTCAGATCATACTGTGCTTTATCAAAGTAAACTTTTCACAAAACATGATTCTAAATGCCATTCTCATTACTCTTTGACTCAACCATAGTGTCCAGCAATTTAAAGTTTGCTGTAGCTCTTATTAGAACTGCTTATTATTAATTGTGTTGATTACTATTTCATGTTACATTGTATGAATATGGAAAAATTTACTCACAGTAATGTTCAGGCTTTGTTCTTGTTATCTTACACAAAATATAGAATATCTAAGAAATATCTATGTATAAGAATTTGAATCTTTTAATTGTATGTCTTAATATCATTTTTAAAGCCTATTTGTATCTTATCTAAATTTTCCTCACTTGTCATCAATTCTTTTGAAGCATATATTTAAAAATTAGTTTAATTATTGTTTCTTGGTTTTCATTGTCCAATCATCCTTGTTCCCTAGCACTCTAATTTTTAGTTAGCTATATTTATTAACTTTCCTTTTATGAAGTTTTTCTACCTATAAAACTTGACCTATGGCCTTTTTTTTTTTTTCCCCTTTGTTTGCTCCTCCCAAATCTGTTTTCTCTGGCAAAGCTTGGTATTTGAATGTGAAGTCTGGTTATCCTACATGCAGCAAAATAAGTCTTGTACTTTCATTAGGGCTATCAAAAGATAATACCATTAGCTTTTGAATTCTTTCTCCTCCTCAGGTCTTCCGCATTTAATTAAAGTACATTTTCAGAAAATGTCTTAATTCTTTCAAATGTATGTGCTCCTAAATTTTGAAGTATGTGGATCCGTAGCCAGATGCAGATCGCTCAGGGCTGTAAGACACTGCAGGGAGCCCCTCTATAGCTGAAATGATGGCCTCTACATAATGCAGAGGATTTTCTATCTCCAATGTCACCCACAGGAAGCTTTTTTGGATTTTCTTGTGCTCTTTAAAACAGCTTTCTACAAAGTACAAATTTGGACTTGATTGAAATGGGGTAGACCAAGAAATCAGCCACTCTGTAATCAATGCAGAAATCAATGCTGGCTGGAATAGTGAATTATCTGAGAAAGCTTTCTCTTTTCCTATTACTCATTTGGGTTGTATGTTAGGAAATCTGTCACATAAAGATCACGGTGGCTGACAGGGCACTTTAAAGGCAATTTCTACTAAAATAAAAGTTCCTGGGAAAACATGCTGTTCTATAAATGAACAAGCGTAATACTGAGGGAAACAAAAGAAATCACCCCTACCCCATACACTGAATTCTATTTTGGAAGGAGGAAGCAAATTAATGAAATCATATGGCAGGTCTCAGCTATAGATTTTCAATAGATTACTTATATAAAGCTATGAAAAAATATAAGACATGAGATATTTTTGAAGACCCTCAAAATATTTTTTAAAACAATAGTATCTTTAATAATTCAGATTTATTAATTACTCCAGAAGTAATGTATTGGAAATGAGGGTACATTGTATTCTGGAAATTATCATTATATAGTTCAAATTTTATTAAAAGGAAATCATGTATAAATATGTATTAAAATACTATGGTGATCTGAAAGCATCTTTACAGTGTTCTTTAAAAAAAAAGGCTTAACCTAATCCTTAAATAATGCCTTAATTCTCATATTTGAGGGAAACCTATAAGGTTAATTTTGGTATCTCAAAAAGAACTAGTTTATCTGGCATTCTAATTGTAAGGAATACGTTCTATTTTATGTCCTTCTCTAACAGAAAACAAACAACAAACAAATACTTCATTTGATGGTCAATATTACTTAAAATGCATGATAAATCTGCTGGGTACATAACTGTTTTAAGGGCACATTAGAGTAATTTACAGAATTAGGACTTTAGGTAAGGGAAGAAAAAGCAAACAGATTTAGCCTCACAAAAATCACAGATTTGGGAGGGCAAGCGTGGTAGGAAAAAGGGGGGAAAGTAGGTAGTTTTTTTAACTTAAATGATAGGCATAAATAAATGGCACCAAAAGAACTGTCATGCTTTTTTTTTTAACTCTATAGGTTGACATAGACAATAGATGCTACACAGAGAATATACACACTTATTTCCTGAAATTCCTGATGTATTTGGGTATCGGCCAAGCACACGCAGACTCAGTGGAAGCCAGTGGGCCAAGTATCTCAGCCTCTCCCCGTGCTGCTTCCCATGGCCTCCAGAGCCCCTAAAAGAGAGACAAACAGCTATGAACACTAGCTGCACAAGGTAAGCCTCTCCAGACCTGGGAAGCGTGATTGTGGCATGAACTTTTTTATACCAGGGGCATACATTATTATTTAGAAAGAACTTGAGCAATGTATGCCCTTTATGGGGAAAAAAATAAATTAAGACACCTGGGACTCTGGCTCTTTATCCTAACTCAGCAGCGAGCTCATTCAGTGGGAAAAACAGAATGAAAGCTCAGATTTCCATGAGCGGTGTCCTGGCTCCAGCTTCCTAGGGGTTTGCAAAGCCCGTTTCCCTGCACACTCTCCTCCTTCAACCCATATCCCCAAATCACTACCCAGAGCAATCAATTGACAGGATATAGAGAAGTGAGTAATGAATTTGTGGATGATAAATCTTGGACAAGCTCAATATTTGTACAGGTTTAAGAGGAGTGGTAAATCTTAGCACTGTGTAAATGTAGCTTTTATACTACAACAAACTATAAATACATGTGGAAGGAAAAAGCACTGTAAACTTCATTTGCCACTCACGATCTGCAGGAAGATGATTCAAAATGAGCTAAAATTTTTCCCAGCAAATTCTCTCCATCGAATGTTCTGTCTCCTTACCTATTATCATAATGTTTGGTGTAACACTGGAGGGAATAAGTCAGAGCTGAGTCTCAGTCTCAGCCAGCATTTTTCTTTGTTCTTGCTACATGGTACATGGACCAGTAAAATCAGTGTCACGCGGGAACTTGTTTAAAATGTAGAATCACAATCTTCATCCTATACCTGCTAAACGAGAGTCTGCATTTTAAAAGACCCCGAGGTGTTTCAGAGCATGTGGCTTATTGAGAAACACTGCTTTGTGTAACTGTGGGCAGACTACTCCTCTCTCTTCTCTTTGATTTGTCTTCAGACTAGTGATGAGGTTGATGTGTAGGAATTTTAAAACTAGAGGAGTATATAATGAGGATTAGTGATTTACAGCATGGATTCCGGAACCAGTGTGTCTAAGTTTGGTTCCCACTCTGCCACTTACTGTGTGTATATTGGGCAGATTACATATCTTCTCTGTGCCCCAATTTCCTTATTTGAAAATGGGGATTTTAAGAGTATCTACTTCATGAAGTTGTGAATAATTGAATTTAATGGTGTGAAGTATTTAGATTAGTGTTTGGTACAGTATAAGCACTGTACTAATATCAACTCTTATTATGAGTTAAGATTCTTGATTGACTAGCATTCTAGAACATATGGAGATGCCAATTGAATGACTTTTAAAAGGTAAGAGTGAAGCCGTTCCATTAGTATGAGTTTGCATAAATGAGGAACGCTCCATGGAGGAAGTGGGAATTTAGAATATTTTTGTGGGATAACTAAATTTGCAAATGATTAGAAAAGCATTAGGGGCATTCCAGGTAAAACAGACTTATAGGTAGGAACAAATATTTGGAGAGGGACAGAGAAAAGCAAGGCATATCTATGAAGTGCCAAAATTCTTGAGGAAGGCATGGGGCAACCAGAGCAGAAGGCTTTGTTAGGCAGTATAGGGGTTAAGAGGGGCTAAGATTGGATCCTTTTAATTCCAGGCTGAAAAAAAATGTTAGCTGCTGGCAAATAGAATAAAATAATACAGTAATGAAGGTACAATCATGAAAACATTAATATAGACAGTATGACTCAGTAGAAGACAGAGCAAAAGGAATAAGAAGCAAGATTTGGTTATTAGACATGGGAATGTGTAGGGGAGGAGGTGATTAGAGCTCTAGATTATAAGTGTGAAGGACCAGGAATGTGATGGTGCTTTTAGCAAATATGGGAATATAGGGAGCGTAGCTGCTTTGAAGAAAAGGTGAGTTTATTTTGGGGAGTGTTGAGTGTAGATGATGGCAATACATCTAATAAACGATTTGGCAGATGCAGTAAAAAAAGGTTCCATTAGGAACAGGGCCAATCATACTCATTTTACCTTTTATTTTCGTTACTGTGCACATTACTAGCATCAATACAAAACAAAAGTAAAACCCTAAAATTCTAGAATGATATTTGTTTTCCTTATATATTTCAAATGCTCAGACTCTGTCTACTAAATATTTTAAAAATGAGTTTCAATGAAATGAATTGTAGTATTGGATTTTTGTGAATCAACAAAAGAACTTGAAAGATAGCGAGTCTCAGATCCATTATTCCATTATTCCGGTCCCTGGACAACATTTACACTAGCTTCAAAGAAATTAAGAACAAGTGAAATATGTCGCTTTCAGGCTTTCCTAAAGCCTCCTACACCTAGAAGGCAAAGCTTTTTGTCCAGGAAATAGCCCAACACAGCTCAGTGTCCTTGAGACTGTCAGCCACCATCAGTCATGTTTACCAGTCTCTTGCCTTTAATGAAACAGGAGCAGAAAACTTGATTGGGAGGTGCCATGTGTGTTATCACAAGACTGATGATTGGGTGAAAAGTGCATTTGTGAGCACATCTAGCACTGCCTAGCAACTGTTTCTAGGCAAAGGGTGGCAGGGAGATGGCTGTGGTTTCCTTTCAAGAGCCATCAGCCTATCTCTCTGCACATGTCGCAGGACATCTGTTTTGGATTACTTGGATTCCAGCTTTAAGGTATAGATTTTCTTAGCAACTCTTAATACTAAGTATTTTGCTTTTCAATAATTGACACAATATGCCTAATATTATTACTTTCTATCCATCTCTGAATATAACATAAGTATACAGATTTTTAACTATAATAGAATATATCTGAAGTCAGGAGCTTTATTATTTTTGAAATCCATTCCTTGAAGCTTGCCACATCCTTAAGTAGTCTGGGTCTATACCCAGATTTACACTCACTTCTGAGAGGATAAGATGTGGTATTAGACATACCCCCAAAATTTTAAACTTTTAATTCTTCCCTTAAAAATCCACCCCTGACCATTTTGGGTGGTCATTGCTTCTACTTCCACCCCTGATCGTGGTCTATTTTCTTGCCCTTGCCCTTGTATCAGGACCTAGCTCGGCTAATACTATCAGAGTAGGAAGTTCCAGAGGAACTAGGGGTTATACCACAACTTGATGAGAGGCAGACAGGCCACATTGTGGAGTAGAAGTCTCTCCAGGGAGAAGAGTGCTCAGAAGACTTAGAGGAATGTGGTAAATACCACAGCCTCATACTGGTTGAGTACTTCCTGATACGCCTGAGTAATTCAGTCCCCCTAATTCTGTCCAAGTTGCTTATTCCCAGAGTCCCCAAATACTTCCCAAAGTATTCGCTTGCATTCAGTCAGCCATCCATTCATTCTTTTCCCCCACAGCTGCTTGGAAGTCTCACCCCCTTTCCTTCCTCATTTTCTTACTGCTGTCCAGTATCTTAATTCCGCTGAGTTAGGATCCTCTGACAGCCCTATTTCTTGGCAAAGCCACTTCTCTCAACCTGCTCATAGAATATTCCATCACATCTTTATTTTAGTTAAACCCAAGGACCATACATTATTTTCAGCCCCCTCAAACAGAGCCTGCTCTTTGTCCATAACTGTAACCTCATCAGCCAGAGCCAGGAGGTAGGTTGTCATTGTCTTTAGCTGCCTATGCCTCTTCCAGATCTTTTTCATTTTCATGAGAACCCTGTCTTCATTTGGGAGACAAGATAGCATTTAAGATCATGGGATTTGGATTGGGACCTGTACTTTGGAAGGTTAGACAGATCACCTAACCTTTCTGAGCCTCAATTTCCATATCTGGAAAAGGGACAAGAATATCATTTTGCAAAAGAAAAATAAATAAATAAAAGAAGCAAAAGAACCCCCATCATTTTGCAAGGTTATGAAGATTAAATTTATTCATTCTTTTCACAAATCTTTACTGATTACAATATGCCAGGCATTCTTCTAAGTACTGAACAAAACAATTCCTTCCCTCCTGAAGCTTGTAGTCTCATGAGGCAAGGAGGTCTTTAAAGAAGTAAATATATATGCATATATTTCACACACACACACACACACACACACACACACACACATACGCACACACGCACACATGCACACATGCACACACACACAAGGTGTGATAAAAAATACAGTGAATATTTAAATAAAAATATTTATTACACTAAAAGACACATTGCCAATAATCCCCTCATAATACTCCCCCTCGCTTTGAACACACTTGTCCCATCATTCTTGCCACTTTCTGAAGCAGTTCTGGAAGTCCTCTTTCGTGAGTGTCTTTAGTTGCCATGTCATGGCCGCCTCAATGTCCTGAATTGTTAGAAAATATTTTCCTTTCATGGTCATTTTGACTTTGAGGAAGAGTCAGAAGTTGCACGGTGCCAGATCCAATGAATAAGGTAGGTGAGGACACACCATATAATATTTTTATTTGACAGAAATTGCCGTACCAGAAGCAATGTGTGACACAGAGCATTGTCATGATGGAGGATGAAGTGTGTGTGTGTGTGTGTGTATTATATATATCTCACAGAATTACAAAATCTAGAATGAAAGAAAATAGAGAGTGCTGGAACAATGGTTTAATTGGAGGTGTAATTTAGATGGTGAAGAGGATGGTGGTCGGGGAAAGGCCTGAGGAGGTGGTATCTAAAGTGAGAACAGCAGGGTAAGTAGGATTTAGGCAATGGAGCTAGGGATGGAGAGGCCATTGCAGAGAGGGGCAGCCTGACACATGCCAGCGACTGAAAGAGGCCATTGTGTGAGACAGCATGTGTCATAGAGCATGGTCAGAGAGGTAGGCTGGGGACAGAATTTATATTATAGGCCCTGAATATGAAGTTCATAAGAAGGAGTTGTAATTTCATTTTAAATGCAACGAGAAGCAATGATTTTAAGCAAGGGTGTAACATGATTTATTATTTAAAAGATTTTTTTCTGAGGACAGTGCTTGGAAGACAGTACTTATTTGGTAAATGAAGTTATATTCATATCTGCCTTGCTCTCCAGTATTTATTGAGCATAGTGCACCTAGGTCACCTTTTTTCTTTCTACCCCAAACTCTTGCCATCCCCCTTTGATTAGCTCTGCCAGTACTCCTATTTCAGAGCCCCT